TCCCACCAGCAATGTATGAGTGTACCTTTTCCCCACATCCTCATCAACACTTATTGTTGTTTGTATTCTTATTAGCTGCCATTCTGACTGGAGTGAGATGAAATCTTAGAGTAGCTTTGATTTGCATTTCTCTAACTGCTAGAGATATTGAACATTTTTTCATATATTTGTTGATTGATTGTATATCACCTTCTGAGAAGTATCTGTTCAGTTCCTTGGCTCATTGATTAATTGGGTTATTTGTGTTTTGTTTTGTTTTGGTTTTGGTTTGTTTTTTTTTTTAAGTTTAGCTTTTTGAATTCTTTATATATCCTAGAGATTAGTGCTCTATCTAATGTGCAAGTGGTAAAAATTTGCTCCCAAGCTGCAGGCTCTCTATTCACCTCACTGATTGTTTCTTTTGCTGAGAAGAAGCTTTTTAGTTTCTATTACTTGATTTTAATTATTGTGCTATAGGTGTCTTATTAAGGAAGTAGGGGCCTAATCCGATATGATGGAGATTGGGGCCTACTTTTTCTTCTTAAATGCAGGGTTTCTGGTTTAATTCCTAGGTCCTTTATCCACTTTGAGTTGAGGTTTGTGCATAGTGAGAGATAGGGGTTTAATTTCAGTTTTTTGCATATGGATTTCCAGTTTTCCCAGCACCATTTGTTGAAGATGCTATCTTTTCTCCAATGTATGCTTTTGGCACCTTTGTCTAATATAAGATAACTGTAATTATGTGGGTTAGCATCTATGTCCTTTATTCTGTACTATTGGTCTACCATTTTGGTGCCAATACCATGCTGTTTTTGTTACTATTGCTCTATAGTATAGTTTAAGATCTGGTATAGTGATGCCACCTGCTTCACTCTTCTTGCTAAGGATTTCTTTAACTATTCTGGTGTCTTATTTTTCCAGATGAATTTTATGACTGCTTTTTCTATTTCTATGAGGAATATCATTGGGATGTTGATTGGAATTGCATTAAATCTGTATAATGTTTTTGGTAGTATGGTCATTTTAACAATTTTAATTCTGCCCATCCAAGAACAAAAAGTTAGTTCTTTGAGAAAACAAATAAAATTTACAAACCCTTAGCCATGCTAACGAAGAGAAGGAGAAAACTCAAATTACTAACACATGTGATGGAAAAGGAAATATCACAATAGACACTACAGAGATAAGAAGATAATTAGAAATTATTTTGAAAACTTGTGCTCCAATAAAATAGAAAATATTGAAGGCATTGACAAGTTTCTAGAGTCTATATGATTTGCCCAAATTGAATCTGGATGATATACATAATTTAAACAGATCAATTTCAAATGATGAAATAGAAGACACTATCAGAAGCCTATCAACCAAGAAAAGCCCAGGACCAGATGGATACACAGCCGCGTTCTACAAGACCTTTAAAGAAGAACTAATACCAATACTCTCCAATTTATTTCAGGAAATAGAAAAAGAGAGAGCACTTCCAAACTCATTCTATGAGGCCAATATCACCCTGATTCTAAAACCAGGCAAAGACACATCAAAGAAAGAAAACTTTAGACCAATATCTCTAATGAACATAGATGCAAAAATTCTCAATAAAATTCTAGCAAATTGAATACAAAAACCTATCAAAAAGATAGTGCACCATGAAGGAGCTGTTCTTGCAAGGAGTCCCGTGTGTGTGTGTGTGTGTGTGTGTGTGTGTGTGTGTACACATATAAATATCTTGAAACCAAAGAAATTTGTACACCCTACAACAACTCAATAAAAATTCGAACAATATCAAAAATGAGAAAAAATCTAAATGAACATTAAAAGAAAGATTGCAGACATAATGGAATAAACTGAAGATCATGAAAACACAATAACTGAAGAAATAAGTTAGAGGAAAGAAGAGAGAAAGTATTAAAATATTTTAGTAGAGGAAAGGCTTGATGTAAGCCCCCTTGGGGATGAAAGAGACAAGATGAAATCAATTAGAAAGAATCTAATCTGGAAGATAGGCCAAACACAACCAAGCATTTAGGATAACTGGATCCCTGGAAGAGAGAAACCAACAAATGGTGCAAAAGTACAAATAAAAATAGGACAAAAAAAAATTAATTGAAATGAAGATTTTTTAAAAATGGTCTGTAAACTAAAGAACTAGCCATTTCCAGGAAATTTTCAAATGGAAATGTTCAGCACCAAGATATTTTAAATGGTTTCAAGTCAAATAAAAAGAACTATTTAGGAATGCAAGAAGAAAAATTGAAGGAGGGAGAAACAAAACCGATCAGTGGAACACTAAAGGCCAGAATGTAATGATTTGAGGATAAAGTTCTAAGGGAAAGAAACTTTCCCCAAGGGATTCTGTCATTCAAGTTGAAAGTCAGCGGGGGACCTTCACAACTTTGTAGAGCAGAGTGTATAGCACCATGAGCCTGATGAAAGAAAGAAAACACACACACACACACACACACACATAATCTGCCTGGAAAACAAATTCCAGGAAATGGCCAATTAGAGATAATAGAAGGGCTGGGACCGGGGCTCCGAGTACTTGCCTGCGTCTGATTCTCAGCACCACATAAAAAATAAGTAAAATCAAGGTTTTGTGTCCAACTACAACTAAAAAATAAATATTACAAGAAGAGAGAACATAAGGAGATAACAGAAGTAAAAAAAAAATAGTACAGGAGATGTGATATTTATTCTATTTAAGTGTGGAAACAATACAGAACATCTATAGAAATTGTGTGTAGACTAGATGTAATTTTTATAATTCCAGACCAAAGTATATACAGAAAAAAAGAAAGAAAGAAAAGAAAGTGGGGGAGAAAAAAACATTAGAATGCTAATGTTCTGATCTTTCAAAGCATGGATCAATAAATATGGTTTCAAATTAAAAGGTACTGTGAATACTTAATAGTGTAACTTCCTACCGTTTTTCAAAATTTTTTAAACCTCAGAGGGATATGGTAGTGCAGCACACTATTCTTTCTGACGGACAAAAAAAGTTTTATATTTCAACAATTCCTTCAGCTTTGCTTCATTTTTTTTCCTAAGTAGATTTAAATTTATAAATCAACCTGTGTGTGTGTGTGTGTGTGTGTGTGTGTGTGTGTGTGTACTTGCATTTGCATTGAAGGACCTAGGAAGATCTGTGGGATCATGTTCACCCAATGTGAATGATGATATTTGGATGCTGGGATCTGTACTTTTAGACATTATTTTTTTAATGAGCATGTTGAATTTTTACAGAAACAAAAAATATATGTGGAAAAACAGTCTTGAAACAGACATGTGAAGGTATTAATGACCGATACTGGATGGTAGCAATAAGGATCATTGTTACTTTCTTCTCTGTACTCTTTTGTATTTTTTTTAATTTCCAGGAAAAGTTGTAGAATTGTATTTGTATAATATTTCTGAATCCAGTCCATTCATTATTCACTGGCTGCCTGGCAGTGTCCCAACCCCCAGGCCAGCTGGATAGAAGAAAAGACAGTTATGCTGCCTACCAGGGTTGGTGAGATAGCAGGTTCCTTGAGGGTTGTCTGTCTGTTCACTTAGGAGGAGTTGGAATTCAGAGAAGAAGAATTTCATCCAGGCTTGAGCTAAACTCTGAAAATCAGTAGTGTGTGTTGGCATGTAAGTGGCAAGGACAGCTCCCAGGTAAGAGACCCCCAGAATGGAGAAGACCAAGCCAGGGGTGATCTGTGTCTGGAGCTTAGCAGATGGTTGGGATAGTGACTCCAGGGGAAACTGGAAAGTTGGTGACAGCCTTAAATTCAGTCTTTGGAGTTTGCATGCTGTCGGGCCATGGTGGGCTAAGACTGAGCTGGCGGCAGGATTTGCAGGGTCCACCAGAACAAATAAAAATGTAGGGTCCAGTCATTTAAAAAGCAAGGACAAGGGTCACTAAAGAGAAAAATAGGAAGTCTTTTCTTCCTCCCTTTTTCTACCCTCCCCCATTGTCATATTTTTAAATTTCCTGTTTAATGCCATTCTAAGTCAGAAAGTAAAATTTTAATCATTTAGCATGAATTTAGCAGTTGTGCATATTGTGCAGATATCAGATTTATCATATTTAAATGCAGATAAAAGAGCATTTAATTCCAACAAAACACTGAATTGGGGTTTGTAACATATGTTGGGAAGTTTCTTCAAGCCAGCTAGAAAAAGCAAACTCAAGCTAGATTCAGGAAGATGCAAACCAAGGGAGTGTCCTTGGGCACCAGGATGCCGCCTGACATTGCCAGGATCCACCTCTTGCTAACTCCCTCTGTCTCTGGTGAAGTCAAGCTTTACATCTCCCTTTCCCAAGGACCCACCATCCTAACCCACAGCATACTGGCCACATCCAAGGGCCTTTAAAGCGCTGCTCTGAATATGCTAGCACCTGGGTCAAGCATGACCTAGAGATTATTTCAACCAGACCCAACCTCCAGCCAGCTGTCCCTGAGTGAGGCATGCACTGCCAGCCCAGAGAGAATAGCCTCTGCTCTACCTGGCATAGTCCATGGTGGGACTGGAGCACCAAACCGGGACCTCCCAGGACTGGCACCAGGAGGGCTCCAGGGAATGCTGGGCCCTCTTCCAGTTTGATGCAGTTGACACCCAACCAAAGGGTAGCAGCGGTCAGGGTCACCCAAAGGGTAGCAGCAGTCAGGGGCACAGAGAGCCCATCCTGTTGGGGATGGGGAAGTGATCCAAATATGAGCTGAAGCTCCCAGCCCTCTGTGTGCTCCAAATTGCCGGCAGTAACAAACACAGATTCAAAGATGAAATTATTAGGAATTTTAAGATGGCCGCAGGAGAGCATTAAACCAAGTGTAGGACCCTTCTACATGCCAGGCCCTGATGGACTGAGATGCCCAGGCTTCAGAAATGAGACAACAGAGCTCGCATTAGGAAGAATGATCTATTCATAGGGAGAGTTTTAAGGAGCCTCATTAACAATTCAGGCTGGACTCCAAAAACTCAAAGTTAGATTTTGCAAATAAGTAATTATCTGGTATCAGACATCTGGTTCAAAGTAGACAATGGGTCACCAGGAACACAGCAAGGAAGGAGGCATTCCGTGGACTAGAGGGGGTAATCAGGGCTTCTAGTTCTGTGTGTGTGTGTGTGTGTGTGTGTGTGTGTGTGTGTGTGTGTGTGCATGCACGTGCGCGCGCTCCCAAGTGTTTTCTTGGCTCTTGAAGAGACTGAGTCTTGCTACAGACACCTGACAAAGATGTACCATGATCAGAAAAAAAGCAGCAGGATGAAGGAGAGCACAGGTCAGATGTTAAAGCAAAACTCAGTAACCTCAGATGTGACATTCTCCAATTCCAGGTGTGCCCTGCATCTAGAGGAATGTCCATAACCATGCTGCCATGGAAGTATGACAGGAAAGATGACAACATATATCACAAAGATATTCCAGCCGATGTTGGAATATATTATGGGATAAATTGTGAAGAAAGGTGCCTGGGTATTTCATGGGCATGAGTTTGCATCAGGAGTAGAAATTTTAACTTGAGGTGTCTTGGATTTTTCTAAAAGAATACCACGAGTGGGAACCATGGAAGTCAAGAGAATTTTTAGTGGGGCATAGTGGTGCATACCTGTAACGACAGCACTCGGAAGGCTGAGGCAGGAGGAAATTATGAAATTATTAAAGCCAGCCCCAGTAACTTAGTGAGACCCTGTCTCAAAGTAAAATATTTTTAAAAAGGGCTGAGATGTGACTCAGCGCTTAAGCGCCCCTGGATTCAGTCCCCAGTACCAATAAAAATAAATAAATAAGACTTTTAAAGTCAAGTTGTTTGTAGCTTGAGCTCTGTTTGCTGCTTCACAGTCCTTTCCCATTTTGACAGGGGGCTCAGTACTGCCTTAATATTTGGGGGGACTGAAGACAGAACCTATAGGACCTAATTGCTTGGATGGAGAAAAAAGGTCTGAAAGAAAGAAGGACATAAGTGATTGGGGCTCCTTGAAAAATTCCCATCTCACCTTGGAGTAGGGAAGACTCTAAGACTCAGAACCCAGAGGATGAGGAAGAAAATAGTCCTTGCTCAGTGTCCTTGGGGCTGGTTCCAGCATCCCCTATGGGACACCCAGCTCCACAGATGCTCACCTCCTTTGCATAAAATGGCATAGTGTTTGCATATAACACGTCCTGTGGTATGTTTTAAGTAATCTCTGGGTTGCATATAATACTTAGTACAACTGTTCATTTTTTGATCTACGTTGGTTGAATCCACAGATGGAAAACTCGCACACAAACATGGCAGGCCAATGGTACCTTTAAATCTGAAAACAAAACCCAGAGACTTCTGAGTGGTTTAAAAAACAACAACAACAACAAAAAATCACAAGCTAGTCAAAGGGCAAGTGACAAACCAGGAGAACAGAGAGAGAGAGAGAGAAAAAAAGATGTGATTCACATGATCAGGATCAGTTTCCCTCATACTTAAAAAGAAGTTCCTGCAAATTAATAAGAAGAGGACCACAACTCAATAGAAAAATGGGCAAAAGTTGGAATAGACAGTTAACAGGAAAGGAGATACAAAGAGCTCTTAAATATAAGAAAGGACACTTAATCTCAGAATAAAAGAAATGCAAATTAATGTTAGTGTGAGGACATTTTTGCACTTAGAAATCTGATAAAAAGCTTGGTGATACCTCTATGAAAACACTGTGGGGAAGCAGTTTCAGGTAGTTATGTAAATTGGTGCAGCCCAAGGGCAAGCAGTATGGCAGTTTTTATCAAAATGACAAATTCATAGCCCCAAGGCCAGGTCTCTTCTAACTACCTCTCCAGACACCCCTTCCACCTTCCCTGCCCTCCACTTTGCCCAGGCTCTTGTCCAGTAGAGAACCACTGCCCCTTTGCCTTAAAGCTTCTGATTAGCTAATGGGAAACCCCAAGAAAAGAAAAGGAGAAAAGAAGGATATTTATCCCTGATCCCTTCCCTGCAGTCACCTGGGCCTCCTGTCAGCTCCTCACAGGATTCTCTGCTTCCAAATTCCAGTATTAGTACCTTCTCCTTTTCCCTTCAAGTCCTGAGTGGTAACAGCCCGGCCACCGCCCCCTGTTGTTATCTGGAGGAACTGCATGCTCCTTATGGCCTGCCTGCGTTTTGCTCACACATTTATACATAGTCCTTTGATTAAAGTCATTCTGAAATTATCCTAACTGGGCTCTGCGGTTTGCTGTCACAACCCTGGCTCATACGCCCTTTGCTTAGTGTCTTAGCCCATTTCATGCCACGGTGCCACAGGCTGGATAATTTATAATGAATGGAAATTTATTTTGCTTATGGTGTTAGAGGCTAGGAAGTCCAAGGTCAAGGGGCCATCCATATGTGGTGAGGGTCTTCTTGCTGCATCATAATGTGGACATCACATGCCAAGAAAGCAAGAGAGGACCAAACTTGCATTTACAACAGACTCTCTCCATAATAAACCTTCTTCTTCAATATCAAGGTTAATCCATTCTCACTTTCTCAGCTGTTGAATTGTGGATTAACTCTCTAGTACATGAACTTCAGAGGACACATCCAAATCCTAGTACCTAGCAATCCTACATCTGAAAGTCTGCCTGTGTTTAGACTTTCACATGTGCAAAATGATATGTGTCTAAGAGAATTCCTTGCAGAACAGATTAGAAACAATTCAAATGTCCATTGTAGGGGACTAGTTACATAAATTATAGTATGTCCATAGAAGAGAACATCATGCGACTATTTTTAAAACAAAAGCAAGAAAATTTTCTTGGATGGAAGTGCTTCCCAGATATATATGAAGTGGAAAAAATCAAGAATAGAGTCTGTACATACTATGTCTTGCCTAAAAAGTGGGAGAAAATCAGAATATATATTTGGTTTTGCTATGCATAAAGGATTCACCAAAATAAAAGTTTTCTGAGAGGAACAAGACTCTTCACATTTTTTTGTAATGGATTTAAAATTTTTTTTAACCAAATGACCATGACTAGCTAAGAAATTGGTGCCAGAGCTGTTTGAGTAAATGGGGTAAATGATTCAGCTTCTTGGCAGGCTTGGAAAGGCTGGAGCCAGGAAGTTCCCTCTTTCTTGCTGGCCTTTATTTGTTTATTTATTTATTTTTGCTGCTGGGGATTGAACCCATGGCCTGTGTATGTGAGGTGAGGGAAGTACTCTACCAGCTGAGCTGTATCCCCAGCCCTCTTGCTGACCTTTTATTGTCATGTCTTTGCCCCCATTTTTATTCTTATAATTTAATTAGAACTTCAGAATTTTGAACACCTAATGTTGGTTTTCCTTTCAGATGTGAAAATGAAGAAAGGACTTAACAACTAACAATGATGCTCCTGAGCCACGGTTCCTCAGCTGTCAGATCACGCAATTTGTGCCTCATGGGTAAGTGCTGCTTTTCGCCCCGGGTGTTTAAGAGCGTGCCATTGTGTTCTTCACCCAGAGAGCAAACAGATTTCCTAGGCTGGAGGACCCAGATGGACCCGCCCAGTGTCAGGGGTTCAGCAGAAGGTAGTAAGTCAGTGCCAATGGCTTGGATTCAATATGGGTTTCTGTCTAATATTAATTGTAGGGAACCAAATAGATGAGCAGGAAAAACATAAGCCACAACACTGTTGGGGACTGTCCTTGTGTACAACTGAAAGAGCGATTTCTCCTGCTATCCTCACTCCAGTCCATTGTGGAGTTTATCACCCTACCCCTATATTTGGGAAGAGGCCAAACCCCTTCTCTCTTACCATTCCCCCAGAGAAAAATCATCCCTAAACTTAGGTTTCTGCATTTCATTTATTATTGATCTTTTTTCTTTTTCCCTGGAGTCCTATTCATTCATGCCTTTTCTCTGCCTTCTTTCTGATAATAGTTCAGTATCTTAGTGTCTTCTGTTCCATATTTCATCAGTAGGCATCCATTCACGGACAAGTGTAGACTGTCCACGCACTGGGCAATGTACAGCATCCTTGGTCTCCACCTCTAAAAATGCCAGGGGCCCCATATCCCCTAAAGCCATTGTGATACCCAGAAAACAAATGAGCCCCCCACAACCTCAAGGGGATGAGACTCACCAATTCCCGTTAAAATACGCTTTCTTCTTCTACCACCCTTTAAAGTGTGTTGGTTAGTAATATGCTTATTCATACCTGAGAATTTTTTTTCAGATAGATAACTGCTTCTTAGGAAACTCCCTCAATCAGCCCAACCCTGATTGTGAGTACCAGCTCCCAAATCCATCTCTTATTTTGGACCCCCTCAGGACACTGCTTGGACCATGTGTCATGGTACCAATGTCAACTAAGAACCGTTTACTTGAGTATTTTTATTAGTACAACAAAGTCTCAATCCAATATTAATACATGAGTGTAAAAGAATATCAAACCTAGATTGTTTTAGGTTGAGCCCAGAGTAAACATTCTTGCTTCTCTAACTTGTTTTTCTTCTTCCTAGTGTACCTGAGTCTAATGTTCGTCACTTCACACAACCTTCCTGGTAAGAGATGTTCTTGGCTTGACTAAATATTGGATAGGATCAAAGTGTTGGGGTGACCATTCAGATGTATAAAATATGGGAAATTTGATTTTTTGATCCCAAATACATTGCTTATTTTATTGGAATCCTTTTTCTGTAAAAGGAGGTCAGATTAACTACTCTTGATTTTCTTGTTTGTCTCACAAAACTATTATAAGAAATTGATACTAGAGATCATTTACAAACCCCTTGAAAAAATATCTAGCTCCCAGTAGTCTCACTAAGAGAAGAATAAGGAGACACACGCTACGCCAAACAAAAAAATAATTTCTATTTAATTTACATTCTTCCACCTGCTGGTTCCAAATAAAGAAAAATAATCTTTCATTAAATCTTACCTGCATATATAAATCTGTCTACAAAACTTCAATAGCTTCCCATATTAAATGTATGTATCGCCTTCTGCTAAATGGTGGGGATGAGGAGGTAGCAACCAGGAAGCAAAGGCCTTGGGCCTTAACCACAGAAAACTTAGGTGATCTTTCAAAATTTTCCCAAAGAAAATCAGGATTTGACAAGAGGAGCATTAGTCCCATTCGCCATTGCCACTTTCCAGTGCCTGCCACCGCGTAACTAATCTCACGGTCTAGAAAATTTCGTGACTTAGCATTGTTGTGGGGCTTCAATGCCCAGGAAGGACCAGTCTGAGCACACATTAGATGCCCTCTTACCCATGACCAGGGGATTAGTGCAGGGAGAATCCCGAGGAAGGAAAACTTGCAGTGGGCGGAGCTGAACTGCCTCTGGAGGGGCCGGAAGGGAGTGGGAAGCATACCAAGAGTCCAGGATGAACTGGATCCTTTTGGTCTGGTGAGCTACAGAAAGTCCCTGATTGGAGGAGCCCTTCAGTCCAAATTCTGTTTACACGGTGCCGAATTCTTGGTTCCTAAGCTTTGCTACCCTGACAGCATATTACTCATTAATAAGCTGTATTAGTTAATTTCCCATGTCTGGAGTTTCCAAGATACCAGGCTTCCAGAAGACGTCTCTCTGCAGAGGCCCCAGTCCTAGATCCCAAGGGACAGACTGAACAGTGGCCAGAAAGCCTCTTTTCTCCTCCTGTTCTCTTTATGTCTTTCAGATGGAAGTTGTAATTTAAAGATGACATTTCGAAATTTCCGGTTAATTCTGTCGTGGGAATTAGAAAAACAATCCACCGTGCCAACTCACTATACATTATGGTATACAGTCATGAGGTTGGTTACATCTCGTTTTTCTCTTCCTAAACATATCATCTTTTGATTATGTGGTGTCTTCCCCCGCCCCATTGTTTATTGGAGTCTTTTTGACCAAAGGTAAAACACCCATTCATTTTTTTTCTTTTCATACTTACATATGTGTTTATTTGCTAATAAATATAATAATTATAGAACTAGTAACAATGTGATAAAATAGAGGAGGTGTATAAAATTAAATATTGTGCTCAATTTGAACTTCTTGTCATGTAAAGTCTACTGTATTCTCTCCTGGTTTGTTTTGTTTTCTTTTTTTAATGCAACTAAAGTAAACAAAGAAAATTATATTACAGAGTATTTTTGTGGCAGTAAAGGAAGGAAATAGTTTTGTCACCCATTTGTTTTTAATTAATTTGAATGCTTCCATAATCCAAAGCTACTTTTGACAAAGCAGTATTTATTACCAAAGTCAATATCTACCTGTCAGAACCTCAGAAGCAAAACAGTTATAGGGTTCTCACAAATGATTTCTCTAATTCAGTCAATCTGAATGTTTAAAAGTCCTGTGTTTTCCAAAAGTCCAAAGGTCTATTGACCATATTGATGGTTTATGTTCAGTTTTCTTTACTCAGAGAGGCATGTGGGACACCATAGAGAAGTCTGGACCAATCCAGCACATGCTGAGTACTAAGATGGTAGGATCCTTGACCAGCTTGACACTCAGCTTGGGGCTCAGCCTCTGTGTGCTAATGCCACCACTTAGGGGTGTTTCGAAAATCAGTGACATAATGGATGGAAAACTTCTTTGTCTCCCTTCTTCCCGCATCTGACATTGCTACCATAAGTGGTTCCTTTGATCCAGTAGCCCCTTGGAGTGTCCTTTCGCTGATGGTCTATTTGGCTTGTAGCTTTGCTGCTGGCCCAGGGGAGGACGTGTTGTGAGTTTCTCCTCTGCCTGCTAAAGCCTTAAAATTTCTCTCTGCACTGAGTGCTCACATGTGTTGTCTACCTACCTTTCTGTGGCTTGGTACAACAGATATCTGTATTGTCTCTAAACTAGCTCAGGGATGAATTAGGACCAGACCATGTGGCTTTCAGCTAGAGAGGGAGGGAGGGAGTCTCTGGAAAAGCAGTCATTACTGTCCTGAAGGGGGAGAAAGATCTAAGGCCTCTATGATGAAAGCCCAAGGTTCATTCATTAATTCATCCAGCAAATATTTGCTGAGCACCTGTTATATGCCAGTAGATCCATCTGTGAGCCAAAGTCCCTACCCTCTGTGGGCTGAAATTCTGAAAGTGGAGACATCATTAAACAAATACAGGTATAATGTGACAAGTGGAGATAAATGCTATGAAGAAAAATGTTGAAAGGGTAAGAGGGATTGAGGGGTGGGGGTGGGGAAAGGATCAATTGAATTTCCAATAAGGTGGTTAGGGAAGACGTTATTTGTGCAGGGCCCTAAAGGAAATGAGGAAGTGGGGCACACAGACTGGATTCTAAATACCTAAAATGCTGAAGTTTTCCATTTTCCATTTCTTTCCTTTCCAAAGTAAAACGGACGATATGGAGATTATTGAGAGCTGTACAAATGTCACCACGCCATTTTGTGATGTAACGGATGTGTGGAAACAAGCACATGAGACTTATGTTCTCAAAGTGCAGGGATTCCGAGGGAAAGCGATGCTATTCAACTGCAGCAGCTCCACCTTGTCCTCCAACAGTGAGTCAATTTGTTTCTCTATGGCTTCCTCCTCCTCATGATCATCATTATTTGCTCTGCCGTGAGAAAGGAAGGGCTGCAAAGGTGTCTTGGATTCAGAGCTAGGCTTCCTTGTGGCTTGCTATTTCCTCATTCTGTAACAGGGACTAGTTACTAGAGCTGCTCTGAGTCTCAGCTTTCTTACCTGAGAATGGAACCTGTTCTTTGCAAAGCAAGCTCTCCTGGGCATTAGTAGCTGCTATTTTTCTGTTCACTTTGCATTCTGACAGGAAGTGAGGAGCAGGGTTCAAGTACCTTGTATCTAAACATCAGGCTTCTTTGGGCCAGTATTTCCCTTGTACCACAACCCCACCCCAGATTGAAACTCAACTGCTACATCTTGCACGTGCAAACACCCAGATGTGTATACAGCTAGGGCCCAAAGCAGCACAGAGGCAAAGAGCATAGGTCTCCTTCATCCTTCCTTTCTCTGTACCCAGTGTCTACACCCTAAGGTATTTGCATTAATAGGTCCAGCTTCATCACTTTTTTCAGTTTTCCAAATTTCAACTTGTTTCCAAGAGAACGGGTCAGCTTTGGCCCTGTTACAGGGTGGGTGGGAGTGTACACACACACACACACACACACACACACACACACACACACACACAGTTTTCACAAAGTCGTGATGATGGCTGAATCCCATGCTTGTGAGACTGATGAACAGGAGTGCACCTTTGGAACGAACAGTCATATCTGTGTGTATATGTAGAAAGGAAAGGAGAGCACAGTATATAGACTGTGGTGTTGGGATTGTTGAAGAATGTGTAATGAAGTAATAATGAGGTCTTTTTCGTGGTCCAAATGACAAATATGAAAAGTACATAAAGAGAGAGGACTAGAAGGAATGCAGAGTGTCCTTGGACACAGTCCTTCTGTAGGTATTGGGCAGTGGTATTAAAAACGTGAGCACTGCCAGGTGCCGTGGCGCACACCTGTAATCCCAGGGGCTGGGGAGGCAGGAGGATCAGGAGTTCAAAGCCAGCCTCAGCAAAAGCAAGGCACTAAGTAATTCAGTGAGACCCTGCCTCTAAATAAAATACAAAACAGGGTTGGGGATGAGTCTCAGTGGTCGAGTGCCCCTGAGTTCAATGCCCGGTACCCACCCACCCCCCAAAAAACCTGAGCATGTGTGTGCTCAAATCCACAATTCCACTTTGCCCTAAAGACATCATTAGGACAAATGCAAATATTTAGTTCCAAAAATATTTACTGATACCTCAGTTCCGTTCAGAAAAGTAGAGATAATCTAAATGTTCAAAACAGTGAATTGGTTAAATCACAGTTCAGCCACTTGAAGGAACTGAATTAACCATAAACAATTATGGTGTAGGGGACTGGTAGACTTTCTGTAAAGGACCAAAGAAGGAATAGTTTAGAGTTTTGTGAACCACATATGGTCTCTGGCCCATATTCTTCTTCATCTCTGTTTATAATCTTTAATAAACTTTCAGACTGGCCTTTGATGTAGGTAAATATGTGTCAATATGTTTATAAAATGTGGTTAAGTGAAATTATGTATCATAAAAACAGTGTAGGTTAAGTTATTTAATTTTAGTTTATAAATGTGTGTGTATGTGTGTGTATATATATGCATGTTTATGTTTGTAAATATGTGTATCCTCGTTTAGTTAATACATGTGAATATGCATGTATTTATATATACACAAAAGATGATTAAGACAATTGCCTATACATATTTTCTACAATGATTAAGTGTTAGTAGTAGTAGATTTCATTACTGAAATATAAAAATGAGTCATTTTTAATTTTGTTTAGAAGACCGAACAAAAATTGGCAAAATGACCGTGTTCAAACAACAGGGGGTGTTGTTGATATGCAGTCATCAACTCAGGTGGGATTTTGTTTCTGTTTTCTAAACAGTATTGTATGAGCCACCGGAGTTTGAGATTGTTGGCTTTACAGACCGCATTAATGTGATAGTGAAATTTCCACCTATTGTTCCCAAGATTTATGGGGAAGAAATACAGCACCATTTATTACTTTTCATCAAAGAAGAGTCCATGGGGATTGTTAAGATGGTAAGTAAGTGGTCTCCGACACTAGGCTCAACACAGTTCTGAGAGGGCACTAACAGACTCGACTCTCAAAAACAGAAATGTGTTGTTGCGAAATTCAAACCAATGGGTCTGGGCTTGAATGTGGCCTAAATTTAGGAAAGAAGAAGTCCGTTTATTGCTGAGATATCTTGATTTAGCCCAGTTGTGAGCTCTTTAAGAGAATAAGCCATGCACACAGCATCAGGGGACACAGAAGAGAGAAGTGTGTGGCGTAGATGGGGGGATGGCCAAATCTCAGCAAGCCAGGGTGACATTTCCTTGAAAGGGCAGTTTAGCTGAGCCATGCATGGAAAACACCTGTTGCTGCCTCTCCATTCCTCAGACACAGCACAGAAAGTGGCACTTTCCAGCAGTTCTGTCCCCACCCGATCTCCCCAAAGGACCCAACTGGATGTCAGTAACCTCTGGGTGACCCTGGTACTCACCAGTAGGCCTTGCTCTATTAGCATCTTTTATTTGCAGAGCCCTTTGCCAGTTGAGCCTTGCACTAAGACCAGCCCTCAGGATTAGGGCAGGGGCACTTCAAACCAAGGGCACAGCAAGTTCAGAGGCCGTGAGGTTGGAGTGGGCCTCGTGGCTCACTTGAGAAATGGTAGGAGGAGGTGACTGGAGTAAAGAAAACAGGATGGGTAAGGTCCAAGAGGGAATGAAGCCAGACCTTGGAGGGCTTTGTGATTCCAGATCTCCTGAGTATGAGAGAAGCAGCCACTGACCTAACAGGATGTCCCGGCTGGTACGTGAGGACAGACCATAGGTGGCAGAAGTCAAAGTTGAGATACTATTTGGATGGTAATCACTTAATAAGCAGCAATAAACTATATAATTACTATCATTTTCCTTTAATATCCACATGGGATTATAATCAACACCCTAGGAAAAGAGAACAAAATAATAGGGGAAAAATAAGTTTATATGTCTCAAGGACTGTGTCAGATACCATTAACTATTATATTTCAGCCCCATCTCTTTATGTTCCAACCATGAGCTATGAACTATTACAAATTAATATTTCTAAAATGTTTATTAGACAATTAATACCACTGTAAGAGGAAAACTATAGTTGACAGGCATCTTCTTTAAATTACATTTTTTGTTAAAAAAAAAAAAAAAGGTTACTTCCCAGGTGAGGGGAGGGGCAGAGTGTGTGTGTGAGAGAGAGAGAAAGAGAGAGAAAGGGAGAGATGCTTGGATTATTTGGTGGTAGTGGAGGTAGTGAGAAGCAATCAAATTCTGCATGGGGTTTGCAAGTGGAGCACAGTTATTTTCAGTTAAGTCAGATTCATAATGAGGTAAAAGAAGAAGGAAGTTAGGACTCCATCACTTGGACTTGTCATTAACTAAAATAGGGAAGATTCTGGATGAAGTTGGTGAGAGTCGGATGGCAGCTCAGTTTGAGACATGTCAAGTTCAAGGCACCTAAAAGGAGATCTGGGGCAGGAGTTGGATGTACCAAGTGTTCAGTGGTGATCTCCCAGCTAAAGAGGGGTCCTGGGAAACCACTCACTCCTGCGTATTGAAGGCCCTGGGATCAGACTCTAGATTAGAGCAGCTTTGGTGAGTCATGGGGCAAAGGGCTGGTTGGAGTGAGTTCTAGAAAGAGGGAGAAGGATTAGAGAGCTCATTCTTCTGAGGAGTTTTTCAATAATGAGAATAAGGGAAATGAACTGGTAGGTGGAGGAAAAGGGAAGACGGAGTGAAGGGAGAGACTTTTTAAGATGAGAGAAATTGTAGCATGTTCACATGCAGATGAGAAAAGTCTCAGGGGAGGTTGCTGGAGCAATGTCCTAGCATAACTGCAGTGGGTGGGATCTCCAGAAGTGGCTGGGAGCATTGCCAGTCACAGGAGTGGAGTGTGCAACACAGATGTGTAAAGGAGGGTCTCTTTGTACATTTTCTGTTATTATAACAAAATACCTGAAGTTACATGCCTTGTAGAGAAAAGAGGATAATTTGGGCTCATGGCTCTAGAGGTCCAAGGTTGAAAGATTGCTTCTGATGATGGTCTTCTTGCTGGCAGAGTCTGGAAGTGACAGAGGGCATCACATGGTCAGAAACAGCAAGCATGTGTGTCTCTTATGGTCTTTTTCTCTCATCAAACCACCTGTATTCAACCTGGGGCTCCGCCCTGGTGAGCTTAACCAGTACTAATCACCGCCCATAGGCCCTTCCTCTAAACACTAGAGTCAATTTTCAGGACTCTTACTACCTCACAGTAAGGATTAAATTTCCACACATGAATGCTTGAGGGACACTCAAAACCATGCTCAAACCACAGCACAGGACCATTGTGGGAGCTTCTGTTTGCTTGGTGGGAAATAGGAAGTTGGCAGTACAGACTTGCTCAAGGCCCCATGGATCCCAGATGTTCTGCCCTCCCACCACGCTGTTTCCACTCTTTGTCACCTTTTCCTTCTTCATTACTTACTTCCATGCATGAGCTTTGACTTTGTTTTGTGTGTGTCTATTTAATAGAAGGAGAAGCTCCTTCTCCTTCCCAAAGAAACGTAGAGAAACATATTATCACCAAAGGCTGCCTTCGAACTGCTAGAAATCCCAATTTACAGAACTGCTGGTGAGAATATATTTTAGAAACTATAGAATGAAATTTTTTTTAAAAAATTGTTATTCAGAAAAGAGCCTTCATAACATCTTTTTAATTCCAAAGTGAAACCAAACTGCTGGGGAAAGGAAGGGGTGGGGTGAGTTAGCCAGCAGCCTCAGGGCGTGGCTGCAGACGAGCTCTGTGACCTGGAGAAGTTACTTGGCCACTTCAGCTGTGGTTTCCACATCTGCAGAATGGAATGATGCCTAGGCTGTTTTGAGAGTCAGAGGAGTTACCCTAGTGGAAGTCCTTTCTGAAGTGTAAACTAGGTACACATTATCAATTCAACAAGATCATCTTGAAAAATGGCAGGCTAGAGACCTTTATCATCTTTGGGACCTTTTCTCCTCGTGTGTATAATGAAGTTGGTAGACTAGATTTTATGGTTTTCATATATGTGTGTGCCTAGGCAAAAATACATGTAGTTTTCTAACCTAATGTGACATTTCTAACCCTATTTGAAATTTGAAGATGGAACCTCAAGGAGTCTCTTACAGAGCTACCTCCAAATGAAAGTCTCATGTGAGTCTTACTAAGTTTTTTTTTTTTTTCTTTGCTTCTTTTTACAGCATGAACCCAAAATAAATGGAAACACCACTGGAAATTTCAACTATGTCATTGACAATTTAATTCCAAACACAAACTACTGTGTATCTGTTTATTTTAAACCTAAATATCTGGAAAACAGAATACAGTCTTCCTCAAAATGCACCTTCCTTCGCCTTGACCAGGAATCAGGTGTGTGGCTTTCTGAAAATCATATTTTGAAATTTCAGTAGGTTTACTCTGAAGAAAACCTATTGAAAGCAAAGAATGTGGAATTCATGGCATGCTGAAATTGCTTGAAGCAACTGCATACAGAGGCATGGGAGGGTGCCCACTAGCTGGCTGCCTGAGGCTGGGTATGGTCTGTAGGTAAGACCTGGCTCCCAGGAGCATTGACTCTAGCTCACAGATGAGGGCGAGCTGAGCCTTGCCAGCAAGGAGGAGAAGGTGAATGATGAAGGTGGAAAGCCTTTCTGTTGCAAAAACACCAGAATAGCCAACAGTGTGATCTTGAACCCTCTTCTGTGTGCAGAAGTGTGCAGGAGAATGATAGAGCTTAGGAGTTTTCCCTGCTGGTTATTTTCTCAGGAAGTCACTCTATTGCCAATATATATTGTTGTATCAAAAGGGAAAAATCTATGAAAGGTCTTCCGGCAAGAAGCTCTTCTAATCCTCCCAGCCCTGGTGGAAGTATCTTTAATGTTCTGCTTTACCAGAGTAAGATAAGTGGGATGTGTAAGGAGATGACTTTAAGTGACATGTTTGTTGCACATGCAGTAAGACATGCAGCAGTGCCTGGCTGCAACCGGCTGTGGCCATAGCACAGTGTGATTTTGTCCTCTCGTGTTCCTCAAAGCTGAATGATGCACATGTGGGCTGATTTTAAAGGAAAAAGAATCTCAATCCTCTCGTTTCAGTTGTTTTTACAATATCAATTAAACAAGAGAAAACCAAAAACTGCACAGAATCTTTTTCCCTTTAGCTCTTACAAACGTATAAACACAGAAGAAATTTATGTAATTATGTTCTTTTTTTTTTTTGCATTTCTCATTTTTATTTGACAGAAAAATTTGCTCTTGCTGTACAGATTTTTAAAAAACGAAAATGCCTTTTAAGAAACATGAAGAAAAATTGGGGAAGGGGGCCACAACCTCATGGGGGTAGGGGCCAGCTAATTTTTTAACTCCTGCCCCTTCCATCCAAGAACACCTCAACATAACTTCTAAATTCTAAACCATCACTCCCAGGAACTTCAGGTGGCTGCACCTCCCAGGGCCTCTCTGATTCTAGGCCTCAGGGTCTGAACTGTATTCTCTCCTCCCCCATGTAATCATGTTCTAAAGCTAGTTATCCGACCTCAAGATGTCCAACAATTCAATTCATTTCTGATACTAACTACCCAAAGTCAGCATAGACCCCAGATGTTAAGGGCTCAGACTCATGATGGCCCCCACTTCAGATGGCAGCCACAAGTTTGGGGGTCCCAGGTCAACTTGACTACAAATTAGAGTGTTCCTTTTGGGTTCTGCATCTCTCTGACCTAACCTATTATTCTTTTGTAATCAAAATTTGCTAAAATTGACTCACAGAACTCAGTGACATGCCACACTTCTGATTATCATTTTACTACAGAGCCTGTGCACCAAGACCTAATGCAGAAGTACGTAGAACCAGGTCTGGAAGGGGTCCCAATGCAGGAGCTTCTGCCTCCATAGAATCAGGGTGTACCCCCTCCCAGTACATCAGTATGTCCACCCACTCAGGAGCTCCCAAGCCTTAGTGTTCTGGGCTTTATTGAGCTTCACTATATAGGTGTGATTGGCTAAATCATTGGCCATAAGATTGGACATAGTCTCCATCTTCTCTCCTCCTGGGGGTAGGGCTGGGAGGAAGTTCCAACCCTCTGATCAAATGATTAGTTTTTCTATTGATCTGCCTTCGTCCTGAAGATACCTAGCTGCACCCCCATGAGTCACTTCATTAGCATAAACTCAGAAATCAATCTTAGCTATTTTCTGCTGCTATAACAGAGTCCTGAAACTGGGTAGCAGGATGGAGGACATCACATATGGGGGAGAGTGCTCATTTTATAACAAAACTACTTCCAACATCTAACCCTTTCCCACAATACCAGCATTAATCCATTCAGAAGGGCAGGGTCCCATGACTTATATACCTCCCCAAAATATCACAGTGACAATTAAATTTCAGTGAGCTTTGGAGGACTCATTTCAACCACAGTAGTCCCTAAATGGGGCTTGTTAGAAATAACAAAAGTTGCTGCTATCTCTTAGGAAGTTCCACAGCTTTTGAGGTTTTATGCCCAGGACAAAAACCAGAGATTCCAGAGGTATATTGATGGATGGATGGATGGATGGACAGATAGAGAGACATACATGAAATTATATCCTAGTCTTATATAAAAACAGAACTCTCACATATATAATACAACTTAAATTGTTAAAATGACAATACGATGACGCTTTGATGAAACCCAGAGCTGCTGATTGGGCAGCTGACAGTTCCTTGGAGGCTGACATGTATGGGAGGATGCACTTCCCCCTGACTTTTCTCTAATCCACCTGCTGAGAAATGGTCATGCAGCACCGTCCAGTCATTCCATCTACACTTGGCCTGACCACGTCCTCTTGCCTATTAAGTCAGCCTTCACTCATCCATCATGTCCAACACAGTTAGACTATCCAAATACTTGACATCTGGATTCTTCTCTTCTGAAACTCAGGAACCAAATAGGTTTGGATACGGTGGCATCTGTCCCTATCTACTCACCATCTGAACTGCCCTCAACTAGACAAGCTCAAGATTCACACAGGGCAAATGCTGAGGGGTTTGGAGGGGCAACCTGAGACCAGCATTGACTTACTCAGACCCAGCCAAAGCACTGCAGGCTTGGATGGGTCAGACTGATGGGGTGGTTGGGCAGAGTGGGCTGGGCATGGGATGGCAAGTGTGAGCTGAGCAAAGGAAGAATAGTAACAGATTAGTCATAGAGATGGAGAACCCAGATGTGGGACTTTGGATGCCATTGTGGGGACCCAGAAGGGATGTGAACAGATCTGAATGTCTGGTTGCCACCAGGTGGGGGAGCCAGGGGACTAATGGGCTGGAACTACAGTAACCTAGATGCCATGTCGTGGTTTTCGGTCCACACCAATAAACTGACATTAGTCATCAATCAGCCTTTTGACAAAGTTCTTTTTCTTTTCCATTAAAAAAGAAAATAGTAATCAGATATTACCATTCTTATTGCTCAGCTCAGCCCTCTTCTCATAAGGTCCTTTATTTTTTTGAAAATCCCAATGCAATTCCATGGAAAATCCAAATTTTGAAGACACAACCTGGTCTCCCCTTCTCAAGATGCATTGATCTTACCCCTCTTTTATGAAGAAGATGGTTAACAGAAATAAAGTCCACTTACAACTTCCTCCTGACTTGGAACATTGAAACAATTCCTTTCTTTTCAAATAGGAATATTTTAAAATAGTATACTTGCATAATCTGCCAGTCTTTTTAGATTATCATCGAGCTAAATATAAACATTATAGGCCCATGCCTATAATCCCAGCAACTCAGGAGGCTGAAACAGGAGTATGGCAAGTTTTGAGGCCAGCCCCAGCAAATTAGTAAGGCCCTAAACAACTTTGTGAGACCTTGTCTCAAAATACAAAGTAAAATGGACTGGGGATGTAGCTCAGTGGAAAAGTGCCCCTGGGTTAAATCCCTAGTACCAAACAATAAAAAAATAAATAAAGACAAAAATTTTAAGTTCTTACAAAGAATGCTCAGATTTGTGAGAATACCCCAATTTGACAAGCATTGTTCTAGCTTGTTAATTTCAATTTACATAATTTAGTTTGTAGGATGTCCTATTTTAAAGATTGCATTTGGTCTGTGTTAGTTGCCTTTCTGTTACTGTAACAAAACCTGAGATAATCAACTTGTAAAGAGGAAAGGTTTTTTATTTTGGCTCAAGTTTTGGAAGTTTTGGTCCCTGGTTGATTGGTCCAGTCGCTCTGGAGAGGCAGCGCATCTCAGTGGAGGGCACATGGCAGTGCAAACTGGTCATCTCATGGCTGGGTGCAAAAGAGACAGAGAGAGAGGTGACTGGGTCCATTGTCCCCTTCAAGAGCATGCCCATAGTGACCAGAAGATCTCTCACTAGGCCTTCCCTCTTAAATGTTTTCCAACACCTCCCAATAGCACCACAGACGGAGGACCAAGCCTTTAACACATGAGCCTTTGGGGTACATTCTAGACATTCCAAACTATAGCAAGATCCTTTGTAGCTACTCTCCAGAAATTGAATGGGTACATGAGTCAGAACCTCAGTTTTATGCCATTGCTTCACCAATGAAGTCCTTTTGGGGTTCACCATCCTTTTCAGGAGATGTGGAAGAATTTTGCATCATAAAGGTGCGTCTATGCAGCTAGAACAGATTTTAGGACTGTCCTTGATTTGATGATCCTGCACTCAGTTTTAAAAAATTTTTATTTGTTTTAATTAGTTATACATGACAGTAGAATGCATTTATGCACTTTGATATAACATACATAGATGTGATATAATTTCTCATTTTTCTGATTGTACATGTTGTAGAACCACATCAGTCATGCAGTCATTTATGTATACAAGGTAATAATGTCTTTTTCATTCTACTATCCTTCCTTCCTATCACCAGGTCCCCTCTCCTCCCTTCACTCCCCTCTACCTAATCTAAAGTAACTCTGTTCTTCCTTAGCACCCACCCCCATCGTGAATTAGCATCCACATATCAGAGAGAACATTCAGCCTTTGGTTTTGGGGGATTACCTTATTTCTCTTAGCATGATATTCTCCAACTCCATCCATTTACCAACAAATGCCCTAATTGCTTTCTTCTTTAAAGTGCAGTCATATTCCATTGAAAAAAAAATACATATATATCACATTTTCTTTATCCATTCGTCTATTGAAGGGCACCTAGGTTGGTTCCATAGTTTAGCTATTGTAAATTGAGCTGCTCTAAACATTGATGTGGCTGCATTACTGTAGTATGCTGATTTTAAGTCCTTTGGGTATAAACCAAGGAATGGGATAGCTGGGTCAAAATGGTGGTTCCATTCCCAGTTTTCTGAGGAATCTCTGTACTGCTTTCCAGAGTGGTTGCACCAATTTGCAGTCCCACCTCATTCATTCTTCATGGAGATGAGGCTGGGTTTGTGAAGTCCATGCTACCTACCAGTGCTGGGTCTTCACCAAGTTTCTTTTTGTTCTTTGCTCACCCTTTCAAAAGACTTAAAGTATGTAGCCCACTTTTATTTCCTTTTTACTCTCCTGTATCTACTTTTTCTGAGCCTTTGGATGCAGGATTAATACTAATAAAGATGTTTCTGGAAATTTTAGAGGACCTTGGTTAAGTAACTACTGATTACCTCTCTGACCATTCATACTTAGGGGGAAAAGTTTCTGTCAGAAAGTTGAAATTTTCCAAAAAGAATTTTGACAAGAAGCTAAGGGGAACTCACAATAGGGAATGGTGAGTTCAGCTGGGCCTGACTTTCGTTCCTAGTGTGACCAACATCCACACGATGGCCCAGGTGGCATCTTCAGTTCCTTCCTCTTCTCCCTTCCCGTGACACATGCTAACAGGTGTCTGTTGGTCCCTTGAGGTGCGGTTAGTGTGATGAAGAACTGAGCTTCTAATTCTGCACAATTTTATTTGTTTGTATTTAAACAGTCACAGCTAGTGGGACAGTGCAGTTTCAGAACATAAACCAAAAGAAATTTCACTTTGAAATACATGAAAAGCTAAATATATTTTATTGGTTAAAGAGTATGCCCTTGGCTTGCTCTCCAAGCTTTGGTATTTAGCAAATAGAAAACATTATTTTTCAAACTTCTGTTTCTCAGATAATCACTTTCTAACCTCTGACCAATGTGCATGTATTCCCATCTGTGATCATTTATTGGATTTCTTTTGAAATAAAGTCTTTTTTTTTTTTTCCAACAGAATCATCCGAATATGCCAAAATAAGTCTGATAATCACTGTGTTCTCAGTAGTCTTCGTCTTCCTAGGCACCATCATACTACTGAAGAGAATTGGTTATATATGCTTAAGAGATAATTTTCCCAAAGTCCTGGTATGTGGTTTTAAAAATTTTTGTATCTTAATTTTTCTAAACTAAAAATTTTTACTATATATTTAAATGTTTTCATAGAAGAAAGTCTCATTTCCATAAACACCAACAAGTCTTATCAGGCTGGGTTCTTTTCCATCCCTGCAAAAATATATTTACAGTGTGTCTGTGCCTTATGTTTTCTCTTCATATACT